AATAAAAACCTTCTCATGTAGGTTTGGATTTTTTTCCCCTTAATAATAAAAACCTTCATTTAAAAACTGCATTTTGTGTTTACTTGTGTTATCTTTGTCTAATATTTCAATTTGTTTGATGATCTGAAACATTTCAGTGTGACAAACATGCAAAAAAATAAGAAATCAGGAAGGGGGGAAACACTTTTTCACACCACTGTATACCATTAGAGCGCCTGCGACAGCCCTGACTAATAAAATGTTTTGTCATTTTTTCGGTGAAATCCGGACAAGGGCAAGAGTTAGTGCCCTGCTGTACGCTGTCCGCCTTAGCCTAGGTCCTCGGTGCCCCGTTTGCAGCGGGAAAACCGGAGGTCTTTGGGATATAGGGTAACCCTCTTGGTGTGGGTTGAACGCAGGTACAGTAGGCGTCTTGAACAACCGGGCTACAGGACAGACAGCAACACCTGTAATCCAGTATAAACATTTGTTGACACATCTCATTCACCACTCTGGGGAAGGGCGCCTTGCATAACAGCAGCTCTGTAGACCTCTGGTACCGCCGGATCTCAACCAAAGCCGGGGCTGTGGATTGAACCGGCGCCTTTTTTTACCTCTCACCCCTGAGAGGGGAAGCTCTCGGGTAGGGTTTGAAGGGTTTGGCCTTCTTTTTTATGCGCAGTCGACTTGCTCCTGACTTGCTGCACTTAAAAAACAATCACGTGCTGTCTTTCCAGATGTTACCAGATGGTAACTTTGTTGTATTCCCTGCATCTGACAATGCACCACTTAAGCTACAAAATGAAATGTTACAGTCCTGTAACTTATTGATTTTCCAGGCAAGAATGCTGACAGAAGGGCATTACCAAAATTAAAGTTAAGACCAGAAGTTAGACGTTCATCATTACATGCTTATCTCAATACAAGCACTGTCAAGTGACCGATAACGACTGCTGAACACGGTTCTACCAGTCGGTGAACACATGGACTACTCCAGTTATATGCATCATTTCATCATTTCCCTGCCTAGACACATTTTACAATACTCAACTGGAGATATCCATATTGCACCATGGAGTATGTTTTAAATCATTCTCTGTAATGTCACAACAGTGTGATGTGGCACATATTTTACACAACTACTACACTTTTTCTTCCATTGTGTATACCTGAACTAATATTATACATATGTGCTAACATACTGTATCTTTATTTGGCATACTATAATTCTTTATTATAATGGTGTAAAAATGTGGCCTGCCAGTCAGCTGGGTGTGAAATCATTTGTTGAAACTTATTCTAGCTATTACTCATCATTTTATAAAAAAGGAGAAAACATTCGAACAAAAATATTGTTCTTACATATGATTAGACATACTGTTAATCAAAAGTGGCAAAGTGTTTTTCTTCAAGATTACTGTACGTTCAGGTGCATTTTTCTTGTCTCAGAAAACGATGGACTGTTGGAGAGGTTCTGCGCAGTTGTCACGAATATTTAAAAAGTATTTATGAGCATGTTCTCGCATTGCTTGATATTGAAAAAAAACATTACATTAAAAAGAAATGTAATATCTGTTTGTGGCCCCCTCCCTGTTAGAATCTGCACACAGACATCTACATTCATTTGTGAGCCTTTAGGAGTCTGTTTATTGGGAGAAAATTGCTTTTAAATAATGGTGCGGTAGTGGTTTCACGATTCCGTTCCAGGTTTTCTCTCTTTCCCTCAAGCGTCCATTAAAGAGCCGAGTCGACTCGAGACTATAGGTCTTGTCTGGGAGAGGGGCTGCCTTGAAGAGACTGGGTATTGGGAGAATTTACGTTTTTTATCAATGGTTTTTACTCACATTTTGGCTGTATGTTCGGTCTTATTGCAAGAATCACCTTAGTTACACAGTATCGCAGGTTTGCATTCATGTATTATTTTATCCAAGTGGTGCTGCCAACTATATTTGAAAAGGAAAAAAAAATACAAGGATCAACCGTATCTTGCAAGACGGGAGTATTATTAGCAATACAGGCAGTGCAGCTGCCCTTCTGGTATGTAACTTATTTGATCTCTCTTTTCTAACAAAACAAAAAAATAAGTACAAAGCGTATGTCACAATTCACAACAACTCCGTATGGCTGTCAGAACGGCTTAAGGTTTAGTTTCAAGTACAGGAACTGTGTACCACGCAGTGCCTCAGATGTCAGACGTGGTGCTGAGAAACTTGTGAACTGCAACGGCGTGAAACCCTCTCCAAAAGTTGTCTATGCGCAGAATCGCTGGGCTTAAATGCTGTCGAAGGAAAACCTGTTTTAACCGCTTGTTAGTGTTCTAAAAGTGAGTTTATCGAACAAAAAAGAATAGTTGGACGTAAAGTCTTCTAGTACACGAGGCACAGTTTCGTACTTGACGTCAGCTGAAATGTTCCTATTTATACAGGGGTCGAGCGTGTCTTTTCTTCACGGGTCAGCGCTCTGACAGGGTGTTCAGCGTTGTGACCGTTTGGAGGGTGAATACCCACATTACACGGTCCATCTCCATTCCGTTTCTTAAAGCAACATGCACACTCTGCCTGCTGCATTATATTGTCTCTGAAGCCCTGGCTTGTACAAATGTTAAGACGAATATAAACAATTCCTATTTAAAGTGAGATTGGTTATGTAGCGCTTACGAAACGTGGAGGATTCATGATAAAATTTAATTAAATGTATAACTTTTCTACAATTAAAAGGTAGGCAATTAAAAGGTTGCGATCACCTAGTGTAAGTTATAGTTCTCTTTGCTGATCGAAAAAGCTGAAACGTCTAAATACGTACACATTATCGATAGAGTTTAAGAGTAAAGCCCATAGCTTTTATTAAAAAAATAATCTGCAGTATTTCCTTCATATGTGTTAAACAAGAGCTAAGGAAGCAAAATATTTAATGTTGACTATTAGTAGTTTTTGCTGTCAGTTAATATTGCAGTTGAAATGCAGTGAACTCCGTTTTGAAAATGACAGTGTATATTTCACACTTCTGACATTTTGTGCAACAGTAGTGGATGTTAATGGACAGAAACAAGGTGAATGTGAGTGTGTTAATACGTATATGTGTTTGTGAACACATACTGTTTTGTATTAAGTTAGTCCAAACACACATTCTCTTAAACCACTTTTTTTTTTGCATTCTTTCCTCCAGAATTCTCACCAAAGTGCAGAGATGAAACAGGCCCTGTAATTTCAGAGAAAAAATCCAACCTGGGAAGCTAAACCGGACTCTTGAAATCATATCTAATTTCATGCTCATGCCTGCTTTCTCATTAAATCGTCTTTCCTTTCTCCCGAAGTCCAGCTATGCCTCGTTCCACCAAATCCACCAAGAAAGCGCCCCCTAGAGGCCAAGCTAGCAATGGGAAAAAGAAAAACATTCGCGCTGCCAGAAGACAGACTTTTAACTCTAACAAGACGAGGGGAAAGCCCTTGAAGAGAAAGACAGAGGATGCTGAGAGGTCTAAAAATATCAGCCGGAAAAGACAGCAGACCGCCAAGGAGCTAAGAAGTGCTAAGGTTAGCAAGTCTGGCAGTGGAGGCTCAAGAGGATCCCAGAACAGCATTAAGAATGCCTTTCGTGTAATAGGATCAATGAAGCTTAGGCAACAGGGTAATTCCCTGCCTCAGCAAGCTTTGTCTGAAGACTCTCCCAACCGCAGAAAGTCTCTTCGAGGCATACCACTCTCCCAAAGCCTGCCTCAAGCTCCTCAGCCGAACAGAAACACACAGACGTCAAACTCTAGGTGCCGTCTCCCAGCAAGGCCAAGTCCAGAGCACAGGAGCACAGGAGCTCCTGAAGACGTCCCAGACCCGCACCATCCCATTGAGCTTGGTAAGGAAGATGCCACGGGGCAGGACGTGTCGAGCCCCAGCTCCGGGGACTGCTCTGTCAGTAGAGACCCAGGTCAAATAGAAACAGAAGTGACAGAGAGAGAATCTGTCGAAACGTTGCCTTCTATGGTAGAGGAAACAGAGCCTGTGTCGAGCTCCCAGAGCCAAGAAACCAAACTGAGCCATGTGGATCTTGAGCCCCCCAAATCGCCAAATTCCGACAGTACTGTAATACCACATTCTAATCCAACGTACCTTAACGAGGCCTTGAATTTAGGCACTGACTTGTACCAAATGAAATCGGCTGATTCTGCCACGAGTGTTTCAGACCCTTTAAAAAATGCTGAAGATAATAATGTAGTAGCTGAGAGCCAACGAGAGGTTTCTTCCAGTTTGGGTCCTGGCCTGGACATGGAACCTGAACCCGATGCAATCAACCCAAAGTCGCCGGATGTCTCCATTCCTTCCTGGAACGTTCTCAAGGAACATCCGCAGGGCTGTGTGCGTGAGGTTTCCACAGCCCACGCGCTACCAAGCACCGTTTTGTTAGTTTCAGGGCCTCCATGTAAGGAGGACACCAAAGAATGTGCTAGAAGTCCAGAGCCAAGACAGGAGCTGATTGCAGCTTCTAAGACCCCAGTGCCACATTGCAACATCATTGCAGATATTTCAGAGTCGGCGACGGCTCTGGATTCAGGATTTAGAACAGATGTTAGCACAGACGATAAATCCCTATACAGCTCAGAAAGCAATCCCCCATTTGATATGGGCCAAGAGCTGCAGTGCTTAGATCAGACCACACCTGGGGTGTCGACCTCTCGGCCCAGTTCCGAGGTCGGTAGCCAGTATGTGTCGTCCGACCAGGAGAAGAGGGACAAGAAGAAAAGGAGGCGCTGTGGAGTCTGTGAGCCATGCCTTAGGAAGATCAACTGTGGGGAGTGCAGCTGCTGCCGGAACCGCAAGACAGGCCACCAGATCTGCAAGCTGAGAAAATGCATGGAGCTGAGGAAGAAGCCATCTTTGTTGTCAAGTTCTCAGGTAAGACAGTCCTTGGGGATTTACCGTATGTCAGTAAGAACTGGCGAAGCTGATGCTGTGTGCTGCAATTCCAATGATCCTCTAAAAACCAAACATTAAAGTATTAATTTCCTCAGCCATTGTGGAAGCTTCTCGTGCACATTTCAATATTGTACCAGTATCTACAATTTCAAACAATACTGAACATTAAAATAAACCGCTCTATGCTTGCATCTTTTTTAGAAAAATAAAATTTGGAGCTTGGGTATTGAATAAATGTTTTTTTTTACATCCGTTTGATTAATTGAACATAACTGCAGTACACTCTACTGACTCTTACTGTTGCATACGTACTAAATCACTTCACTCATAGGAGAATTGATTAGGCACAGGTGTTAAGGTGATTTAGCCTATTGAATATCAATCCTGCTGAAAATCAAAAAGACTACACACAAATGAACCATTAATCCCTGCTTATCAAGAAAATAATGCCATTGATGTGTTAGAGCAGTACCGCAGATGGCCTTGCCAGTGGAGTCAAGTCCTCTTTAACGACGAATCAAGGTTTTTGTGAAGACCACATGATGCTACAGTGAACAGTGTAGATGTGCAGAAAAATATACAGTTTGTGTGTGATGAACCATTCATGCAAAGCGCAAATGTGATGGGCTGAGTATAAGTATCTAGTTGTTTGAAAGCTCCACTTGTAGTGATTGATAGCAGCCTGTTTGCACAGTGCTCCTTCAAGATCAAGTTCTGGGACCTCACTTGCTGCTCTCCCTGACATGGCACTACTGCTCATGTAACAAGATCTTTAATGTGAGGTAGGAATGGAACAGTTAAACCATGGTTTTTCCACTCACCAGACATGAGCTCCATTAACACTTGTAGGATGAGCTGGGATGACAAGTGGCATCTAAGGCTCATAAACCAGTGAACAGGCGCATGCCTGTTCAGTCTTTACAAGAGGAATGGGAAAATATCCCACAAGACAGAAAAGATAAGATCACTTTATTAGCCATATGCAATTTCTTGTATTAGGAATCTGTCTTTTCACTTACCCCAACTTGCTCTGAGAGACAGCATCTGAAACGTAGCGTGAGGTTTGCATTGCAGATGTATAACTTGATTTGCTTGCAGCATTAAACATGGACACTATTAGCTTGTGATTTTCACAGTGGACTCCCTAATAATCAGCCCTGTTAATGACAAAGGTTAATCACTATAATTAATATTACCCACACCATTTCTGTTCATTAAAATGTCAATATACCTGCCTCGTGGCACTGTGGCTAAGGATCTGCGCCTGTGGCTAGAAGGTTGCTGGCTCAAATCCCCTGGCTGGCAGAGGAATCCTTCTCTGTTGGGCCCCTGAGCACGGCCCTTAACCCCAAGTGCTCCAGGGACACTGTACGATGGCTGACCCTGTGCTCTGACCCCAAGCTTCTCTCCCTGTCTGTGTGTCTCATTGTGAGTAAGTTGGGTTGTGTGAAAAGACAAATTCCTAATGCAAGAAATTGTATATGGCTAATAAAGTGATCTTATCTTATCTAACCTGCAGATTTGTTGCTGTGGTAAGTTTCTTCTGATGCTCAGTATATATTTCAACTAGACTTGCTACTAAGAGCAGTGTATACTGAATCCAGCCTTGTCAACTGAAATACAATTATATCTAAAGTAATAGTTAATTGTAACCTGTAGCATTTTTAATGCAACAGATAAATCCATTATAACATTTCAGGAGTATTTATGAATACATTTTTTATCTAAATAAGATTGATCACACTAAATGAATTCAAGACCTAATTCTGAGTAATTCTCCAGTTATGCTATGTGTGATATTTAGATAGAAGATAGAACTTTCAGGCTCTGTGAATATCTTAACTTCATCTTAAAAAACATATCTTAACCTGTCTTTATTTTTATTGTTTAAATTGTTTTATGGAGAGTTACGTAAATGTGAAAGCATAACGTAAAGTATTAAAAGAGGAGATTGCAGGCTCAGCTCGTGGCTTTGTGCTGAATTACCTGTTGCAGTATATGAAATACTTTCTTCATCACAGACATTACAGTACTGGTTGCGTAATTGTTGATCATGCAAGAGCTCACATCATAACACTTATGAATATATAGAAAGAATAATGAAAAAACACTGAGCATCTTTTATTATAAACTCTTTAGTTTAACAACTAAAACCATAGTGAGTTAAAGATGGAACCTATTCGAGCCCTGCATGTTATTTAGTTTTACAGTCAGTGTAAATGGCAGCTTTGGAAGACTGGCATATGGTGTAAAACAAGCTCCATTTTATTTATTTTTCAGACTTAAGATGATCAACAGGAGTCTGAACAGAGAGTTTCTCAGTCTTACATGGCTAGTCTGCTGCATAAGTATGTTTTTTAAACATGATGATGATGATTATAAATGTTACTTGTGAATAAAGGCAGTGAGTCTACTGTTTTTAGTAGGCCTATTTCATGAGATAGAGCTAGGAGAAACAAGCAGCCTTTGACAATGAATTCAGATTCAGAAAGTTTTTTCCTAACAGTATTTTAAAACACAGTATCAATAGTGAGAAACTATTCAGTAAGCTTGCAATAATTTGTATGGGTCGCATGATGGCTTTAAAGGTCCATCATTAATAGATAAATGAGGATGTAGCAGAACAAAGGAAAACAGTAAAACAGTTTGGCTTGCTCTAGGACGGTTGTTCACGGTTTGTGGGTCTGTGTTTCCAGACTTGTCTTTTAACATTAGAAGAAGACTATAAGAGAGTGTGAAAAGAAGAGGAGGCCTGTTTGGTGGCTGTTTGGTGTCTAAAAGCTAATTGATTTGAGGATCTCATCCAGCCATTTCTTGAAACGGTATCGATTTTGACAACGAAGCAGGGTAGCTTGATACAGACCTCCACGTCCCTTTGCGTAAAGAAGTGCATCTTTTTCTTGGTTTTAAAAGCACATGCCGTTTGTTGCATCTGTGTGCATGGGATTATATTTCTTTGTTAATTTTAAAGAAGCAGCAAGGAGAAGTCAATAAGCTGCCGATTTCTTCCACTATTATTTTTTAATAGTAATTATTTTCATTTCATCTGTAAACTGTTTAGTTTAAAGACTTTTATATTGTGACATACTGTAGCTAAATGCAGAGCATTAGTGTACAAAGTAAATACTCTTGTAGCATGCTTTGCTACAGTTCTCCAGATCTGCTCTACACAACAAAAAAGAGTTTACCTTAATTTTTTCTTTGAGAAAGATAGAAAAGACCCATTGAGTGAGTTTTCACAAATTGTATCAGTGTTGTGTGTATTTGTTTCGGAATATTTTAATTACACCTCCCTTAACATCTCTGTATCTATTTCCAATTTATATTCAGTGGATACAGTCTAAATTGGTATGACACTCAAAACCCAGCCTGGGCAATCTCCTTTTGGCCAGTGTAACACTATCAACTCAGCCCATCCGGTTCCCTGGGTACAACCTTATAAACTGTGGCACATATCACACGGCTTTGGTGAACCATGTTTCTTTGCCTTTCACTTTCTTTTTTTTTTATTTTTTGCTTTTGTAAGAAAGGTTTATGGCCAGATTGTGGGTCAGCTATCTACAACTATCTTTGGCTGTTGGATTCTTCTGATGTTTTTGGCGACTTTCAGAGAGCTCAGCTGCCCAAGCAGAGCAATGATTTGCTCAGAGCTTTAATGATTCTGTGTCCCAGGAAGGGAGCAGGAATGAGATGTTTTTTAATGTATTGAAGGGAAAGAGAGGGAAAAGTAATTCAATTAACATGTTTGCATTAATTTTTTTTATTTTTTGGAAGACTGCTTATGTTATTGGAGTATTTAAAGAGCAATTTTATTTGTTTAAGTTGGTTCCCTACATGTATTACTTTCATGAACTATAGTAGAAATAAACTTCTCACACAATAAAATACTTTTGAGTTGACATTGCTCAATAGTAACTGAGAAATAATAGGTTACAACAGCTTTAAATCTGCACTGGCTTAAAAGGGTATAAGGATAGGGGAATTATCAAAGTTAGTTTTAGTAAAAATGATTTTGTCAAGGTAGAATTCTACATGGTAGAATGAAACAACTTTAAATTTTTCAAAGCCTCTCACTTTAAAGCTGTTGGATGTTACAATGTTGAATTTTATTTCTAGCTTTGTTTTAAAATACATACCCCCCCACACCTTTATTTTGCTATTAACATTTTGGTTGCCAGGGTAATGCTTTTGAATGATTTCTAATCTATTTTTGCTGTTTGTAGCTTACAGTATTTTTCTACTGTTTGAAAAATGACTCTACTTGTCAAAAAGGCAAGAGACAGGGGAGTGCGGGTTTTCTGTAGTTGTGAGCTTTTATCCAACCCATGCCACATGTTAATTGCTTCTGGGTTTTAATATAGTATAGCCACTTCTATCGAGCTAATACATACTCAATTGGGAACAGCCATTAGTGTGTTATTCCCCCGCCTCACCTCAATACAACAAACCCCGAAACCGCACACGGGGGAGAGAAGGAGGGAGTGCAGGCAGACTCTAGCCGCCCACCTTCCTGACACTCGTCTTGATGCGCTTCAAGCCGCACCATCTCGTTCCAGGAGACCACAGGGCTCAGTCACTCTGCTGCTTGAGTGCTGAGACACCTCTGCCTGACGGATGCCGCTCTGCCCTCAACTGGCTGAGTGCCACCGCTGGGGAAATCCTGGCCGCAGTTGAGTAGTGACGCAACCCTGGCTCGAACCCTTGGTCCTAGGACTCAGCCTGCACCTGGACGTGCGCCTATACCAGTTGATCTGCTCTGGAGGCCCCTTCCTTTAAAGCATTTAACACCAGCGTGTAAATGCTTACACGTATCCTCTGGAGCCAGTACAAAACCATCCCAGTGTTCCTGATATTCCACACCAGGTGGAGCTTGTTATACTACAGTACATCAAATATAGAAAGGCCTCAGTTAGTGAATGAAGATGTATATTCATTTACAAATACTGCAGAAAAGGTTTCTTTTCCGGATCTTCTGATAA